TGTTCTCATCTTTGTAGTTTATTCCTTCACACAAGCTCTTGGCTTAGTCTGATCTTCTTTTCTAGAAGTTTGAGGTTGGCCATTAAGTTGTTTATGTTCACTTTCTCTGTTTTCCTGATATGTGTATTTATTGCTATAAATTTCCCTCTTAGGCTACTTTCATTATGTTCCAGAAGTTCTGGTATGTTATGTGGTCATTATCATATCTTCATAGAAACTGTCTCATTTTTTTTCTTAATTTCAGCTATCACCATTGCATGTTTAAGAAGATGTTGTTTAATTTTCATGTGTTTATAAAGTTCTGTGGTATTTTGGTCACTGTTTTTCAATTTCATTGCACTTGATCTGTTAATAGGCGTGAGATAATTTTAATTCCTTTGCATTAACTTAAGCATATTCTATGAGCTTGTATGTGGTCCATTTTGGAGAATGTCCATGTGCATCTCAGAATGTGTATTCTGATGTTGTGGGGTGGAACATTCTGTAGACATCTTCTTAGTCCATTTGTTCAGAAGTTTGGTTCAGTTCTAATATTTCATTGTTGATGCTTTTGTCTAGTAGATCTGTTTTTCATGACAACAGGATATTAAGATCCCCCAATACAATTATATTAGTATGTATTTAAGTTTTCATGCCCATTATTTGTTTTATATACTTAGTTGTTATCTATCTATCTGTCTATCTATCTATCTATCTATTATACTTTCAGGGGTCCTCTTGTTTCAGCCTCCCAGAGTTGGGATTACAATTGTGTCCCACTGCACCCAGTTTTGGTGGCTGGCTTGACAGGCCTGGGGTGGGACCAGCATGGCATGTGGTATAGGAGATCGAAACTGGTTCCTTGCGCTTGCCAGGTAAACACTTAGATACCTGAGCTATCTCTCCTGACCTGGTGCATAAATATTTCTGACTGTTATCTCTTGCTCTTGGATTGCTCCCTTTACAAGGAAATAGTGACCCTCTTTATCTCTCTTAATCAGTCTTGGTTTAAAATTTACTTTGTCTGCACATAAAAAATCCACCCTTGCTTTTTTCTGGGTTCCATTTGTATGAAGTATTGTTTTCTATCCTTTGACACTCAGTGTATGGATTTCCTTTTGAATTAAATGTGTTTCTTTTATGCAGCATATTGTTGGATCTTGCTTCTTGATCTATTTTGCTCAGTCTGTATTTTTTGATTGGTGAATTGAGACCATTAGCTCTGATGGTTATAACTGGTATGTATTAATTTATTTTTGTCATGCTATTTTCCTTTTGTTGGTTTCCCCTCTTTACCCCCCCCCCCCGATTCCTTCTGTTGGGGTTTATGGAGTTCTAGTCCTTGCTATTCCTTTGTAGAATGTCCTTCAAAACATTTAGGAGAGCTGGCCTGATGGTCATAAATTTCCACAGATGTTGTTTGTCACGGAAGCATCTTAGTTCTCTGCCAGTTTTAAAAGATAACTTGTGAGGTACATCAATATGAATTGAAGGTTGTTTTCCTTTACAACCTGAAATACTTCAGCCTCTCCTTGACTTGACGGCTTGAACTGAGAAATCAGCCTTGATTCTAATGGATTTTGCTTTAATAGATCACTTGTTTCTTTTCCCTAACAGCTTTTATGATTCTATTCTTGTGTTAAATTTCTGCAATTTTGACTATGGCATGTTTGGCTGCAGATTTTCTTTTAATAATGGCTATTTGGAGATCCCTCATTTACCTGCATGTCAAATTATTTTCTCTACTAGGGAAGATTTCTGCTCTGACATTTGTGTTTTTTTAATGTCATTTTTGCTATGTCTTGCAAATTGATTCAAATCAATTTTAAGTTATTCTTCATTGTCTCATCTAGTAACAACTAGATTGATTTCTCATGATCGCTTGTTATTTTAAAGAAATTTTTTTTTATGATCCCTAATCACAAGCCTGTCTTCAATCTCTGACATCTTATCCTCATATTGCCTTATCTTGCTGTGGATACTTACAGTACAATTTTTATTTTCCTGAGCATCATGACTTCTACAAGTTTCTTACACTCCTCTAATTTTTTTGTCTGTATCTGTTCTAGTGTCACCAAGCATGATTTTTGTTGTGGACACTATTTCTGCCATTATCTGAGGAATTATTTTTGATTTGATTTTTTTCTATAACCTCATTCAGTTTTTTTTGTTTGTTTCTACCATTTCAGAGAGGCCAGCTCAGTGGCTTTTGGATTATCTGATCCCATTTTCCCCCTGGATTTTCCTTTGGTGAACTGGATGTCTGGGGTTGCATCTTGTTTAAGTGTCTTCTCATTTTCTCTTTTCTTTTAGTTTAATTCCTATGGTGATGCTTATAAACTGCCTTTAGTGTGTTGCTTTATTGTGTTTATAACCCTTAAGAAATGATACTCCTTCAAGGAATCTTCCAGGTGTAGCTGGTTTTGGGTTTTGAGTCTTTTGCAATTTCCTACCTCTTCAATTTTTGGGGATGAGAAGTTCCTGTCTGCTTGGTCTAGCCCCTGGTTCTTTGGCATGAATTGTGCCAAAGTAAGGGTCATAGTGTTTTCTGTGTCCCTTAGTCAGCTTCAGTCATGGAATTCCAGGAAGAGTAGCTGTTTAGAGCAATTAAGTCACTTTTGGCTCTAGTGATACTATCAGCAATGACAATAGAATCAAACATCTTGCAAGCTGGTGCAGTCCTTTAAGTCTATTGCCCCTCTTTGCTGCTGCACCTTCACACAGAGGCCCCTGGGCCTCCAGCAGTCACCGTGTGTCTGCAGGTTTGAGCCTCTCCTCTTTCAGAGTGAGTTCTGTCTCAGGGAGAAGGCATCGCTGGCTACCTCCTTTGTCTTTGTTGAAACTTCTCTTCTCACTCTCTCTATGGGCTTCATGACGTGCTTCAGATCCTTCCTGGGTCCAGAGGGCCCTCTTCTGTCCTTCCTGTCTTCCTCACCTTGCTATGTGCCAGCACCTGGCTGGTGGTTCTCAGAGAGGCTCTTTCTCTGCTGTTTAAAACCCCACCATCTTTGTGCTCCCCTTTATGGTCAGATTTTGTAGCTGTAAATTATTTTATTTTAAAGTGATTTATCTTCTTTCCCACATATTTATAAAGAACGACTGCCTACTATGTTTGATGTAACATTCTGGGCACTTTACCTCTGATCCCCCCCAATCATGTCTTTCAGAGACTTTTTTCATAGACTTTTTGTACTACATTCATTTTATGGAAGAAGAAATTATGGATAAGGGAACTATATTTTAAAAATGATACTGTTTTTATCAGTGTTTAGTGTCTATATTCCCTACTCCACTTCTTATAGTGTAAGTGCTGTTCTTATGAACTGTGGCAAGTATTTTTCTTCCTCAGTTTATAGGAGTCTGATATTAGTGAGGAATACAACAATGAAACTTTTTCTCCAGTTACATCTAATACCCTAGGATGAATGCACTCTGATATTTGCTTGGACAGATTGCTTTTTTTCCCCAAGAAATTTTAAGGACTATGAAGTCAGTGCAGGCTAGTTTAAAGCTTCAGTCGTAGGTCCAGTTGAACCATTTCCCCTTCCATTTATGTGAGTCAGGTCATGGCTTGAGGTACTTTGAACACAACACAGAGAGGATGTGAGGTGAGTTTTCACTCTTCCAGGCTGCACCGTTCTGGGTCCCTTTCTCTTCTTTATGCTATGTCAGGCAGGAATGAAATAGAAATTGCCAGAAGGCTTTTTGAATTTATGAGTGGTCCAGGGATGGGCCCTCCCTCACAGCTCCTGAAGTCCTCGCACCTGCCCCTATGAACCACACTCCATAGTTTTGTTGGTGGAATTACAGCCCCTGGACTGGAAAGCAGCAGCTGACTATACGGTTCAAGCTCACCTATCTTTGGTGGCATCTCCCTCGTCCATGGAGAAATCGTGTGTCTTGCCTTGCCACATGGTGGGCCTGTAGCTTGCTTGCTTTCTGTTTTGCTTTATTTCTTTTTCTGGTCAGTAACTTTTCCAGAATATTTTCCCTCTACCCAGTCAGCAATGGGCAGATGACTGGGAAGTCACTGCCTCAGCAGATGTTCCCCCACCCCACTCTGTACAAGCTGTAGCTGCTCTTCCTAAGTGGGCTTCTGCAGGCAACGCTTTGCTCCTTCCTTACCTCATACCCAGAGGGAAAAGTACAGCCACATGTTCTTTGAGTCCAGCTCTTCTAAGGCTTTCCAACTCTCTCTTATGTGATTGGTTTAACTCTTTCTAGCCCTCCGCTTCTGTGAACAGTTCTTAGGATGACAGTGGCAGGGTCCTTAGTTGCCTCCTAAATCCTGAAGGCTTTAAGTTCTTCTTGGTTACTGTTTTGGTTCAGGACACTATTTGGCTCCAATTGTCCTTAGCATTGATGCCTAAGCTGTCATTTAAAGGCAACTGGAAAGTCCCAACCACCACAGATGACACCAACATTGTGTCATTTAGTTCTCACAGGAACTGTAGGAGGTACCTTCACGATGTGAGAAAGGAAAGATACACTGGCAGTGATGACGTTGTGAGTACAAGGTCTGACAGAAAATGGTAAGACCATGGCTTCAAATCTACCAGGCTCCAAATGCTTCATGTTTATTTTAAAATTGTCTGCGTACCCTAGTGCCATCTTCTTCACTGTGATAGATGTTAAAGCATGTTTATTTTCAACACAGTCGAGTGACAGCACATCACATTAATACCGTTACTATTTCTTTTTCTGGGGAATTTCCTTATGGAAACTGATTACCAGCAACAATGAAGTATTCAGGTAAGAATGCATTAGCAATACAGAGATGATACATGTTTTGAGTCTCCCCCTTTTTTTGCTTTCATAAACACCTTGGTTTTTTTTTTAGCAGATACCTCCAGTTCTAGAGCCATCCAGGTAATACTGATGGGAATGGTGGTTTATGCAGAAGTGTGTCTAAAGGTTCAGATATTTTAAAATGGATCATGTGTGATTAAATGTGTGTGCATGAATGTATTTGCTGATGACCTCAAAAATATTCCCATGTGCTAACTTTATTTTCTTCTTAGTTATAGGGATGCAGAAAGGAATTTCCACAATATCACTAACAGATGCTCCTATGCGGACCATTCCAACAAAGAGGAGATCGAAGATGTCTCAGGAATTCTTCAGTGTACTGCTAATATACTCGGTACATTCACTACCTACTTTTATGGTTGAAAGAGAAATGAAAGAGAGGAAAGTAAAGATATGAAAGTTTAATATTCTATTCAAGGGTGATTTTGAAAGCATGGCAAATTGAGATCAGGACCTTATCTTCAAGTGATGGACTTTTAACACTCCTGAAGATGTTTGAGTAGAAATTAATTATATGCGTGCCACTTACTTGCAAATTTGAAAATATTATAGTGAGATGCTTTTCTCAGTATACATGATAGTGCTATAAGATTCATATAATCTATACCACTCTGGTCTTTACTCTCTGCTAAAAAGTGGAATCTTTCTTTCACTCAAGGTCATACTCTGTGATTACTGGGTGGTCCTGCTTGGGGCTGAGAGGGGCTGGCTTGTTCTCATGGTGTATTCTGTCATTCAGAAGTCCTCTTAGTGACCTAACCAGTGAGGCTATCTCATCTGCTTAGTTGCTCTCCTCCTGGGGGCTGGGGAAGTAGACACCATGAGGACACCCATGTTCATCTTCTGGTTTCTGTATGCTCTTAATGGGTAAAAGTACTGTTACGACCCACATGGAATGACACAACCTTATCTACTTGTAAACTGTTCTGTAGAGCTGTCTGAAGGCGTTGGTGTGTGAGAGCTTCTTTGTATCCACAGAAAAGGGATCATGGCAAGAATATTTTTTGCTCTAATGTCTTTTTTTTTCCTTTCCATGTCTTTTTTTCCCATAATTTTATTGATAAACAAATAGCTATGAGACAGTTTCAAATCAAATGGGTAGGACAGTTTCAATAACTAACACATTGCATACATTCTTCCTAGTGGTTAATTGCTGTACAAGATGTGGATATGATATCCTATTTACAAACACCACCAGAACAAATCACTCTATTCATTAAGAAAATGTAACTATATATCTATCCTACCCACTTTGAATACACAGATACAAAATGGACATTCATTTGTATACCCTTTTTTTTTAAATTCCGTGATTTGAATATTATAGGTGTGTAAACTCAGCAAAATATCCTAAAAAAGTCCAGTAGTCCATAATAGTATTGGGTCTTCTGCTTGACTGGCAATGTC